TCTAGGGCAGGGGTATTTGAACCTGAACCTTCTGGCTTGGAGCAGGAACACTGCCACTATGCTACAAGAGCCCTGTGAAAGCATCATGGGTGAGTACAAATGATCCATTAGAACTGATTGGAGTGAAACAGGGAAATATTCCACCCTCAACCAAATAACTGTTAATTTATTTTGTTCATTGTTTTTGAAAACTTTCTGTGTGTAAATTCATTGCAACTTTATGCCTACATAACAAAAGTGACTGAAGTTCCAAAGTAATTAATGTTCATATCAAATATTTTGGGCTGAAATGTAGGACATATAATTTTTCTTAAGGGAAGCAACGCTGTCTGGGGACCTATAATTCTAAGCTCAAAAATGTTTCCAAAAATTGCGAATCTTTGCAAAGATCCTGAATGGAGAATAAGATGGGGAATATGGAAAGATTGAACAAAGGAGGGAATGGATGCAAATGTGAAAGAAAAGAAACTTTGCCCTGGAGGTAAAAACTAGAACCCATGGGTAAATAGTGGGAAAATGTTAAACCCATGTTGGATATCAGGTGAAGTAATGTGACTTGGAAGATAGCAATGTACCTTGCTAACTAAATAGCTGTATCCAGGTTCAATACTACCTTCAGAAAGTCAGAACAGATTTTGGAAGACAGTACGCTAAATTGAATTAGTTAAATGTAAGAGTTAGCTGAGCACCATTCAGATTTTCATGCTTTTCTGGGATGCAGACATTGTGGACTAAGCCAGTATTTGTTACCCTTTCCTAATTGCCTTTGAGAAGGTGGTCATGAGCCACTTGAACCACTGAAGTCCTTTCAGTGTAGGTACGGCAACAGTTCCAGGATTTTGATCGAGTGATGTTGAAAGAACAGCAACATCATTCCAAGTCAGCAGGACATGTGGCTTGGAAGGGAATATGCAGGCATTGGTATTCCCAAACAAAAACAGAAATTGCTGGAAAAACTGAGCAGGTCTGGCACCATATGTGGACAGAAAATAGAGTTAGTGTTTCAAGTCCAGCGACACGTCCTCAGAGCTGTTTACACTCCCATCTTACATTCCTCATATGCCAAAATATTAAAACACACCATTGATCCATCATTTTTGGATAATTCTTGCATCTAAGTTGGGCACTTCTGCTGTTCAGGTTTTTTGGCTTCGCTTTCAACTTTTGAAGCAGATTATTTAGCATGCATGATGGTATCAAATTCAAAATATAAAACCCAACTGGAAAATGAACCAAAATTCGTAGTCCCTTAACTCCCTCGGATGAGCCTTAGCTCCATGTGGCATTGGTATATCCAGAGTGCTATAAATCCCACTCATTTGGCCTCTGCCAATCACTAGCTTATTCGTTCAACTTATTACCATGCATTTGTGTGGGATTTTAAGGTTCTAAGGCAATTTTTGGAATTATCTTCAAGACCTTCAAAGAGTGGCAAATCAGGTATATTGTGTTCTGTGTCAGGGACAGCAATCTGCATTCCCATGCAGCCTGTCTTCCTATGGAGAATTATGTATATAGTTCATCACTAGACAGTAACTCTAAATCAAACACTAATTATTACCACACTGTATTACCGATGAGCTTACAAACAAATTGTGGACTGTCGTATTCAATCAATGTTGGTGATTCACAGAGCCACCATTCCAGCCCAAATAAGCCGCATATTTTTCAGCACATAAAGAGGGAGACTTGGCAGACCAAAGATTGCACTGACTATTGGCAAGGCATTCGGATGTCCATTTCAAGAATATTGACAAGACAAACAATCTACATTAAACATTACTATTACACAGCTGTCACGTTATCACACCAGTGACAGCGAATTACACGTTCTTTTGGAAATAGGGTGCATTATTCACAAATGGCTATGAGAGTCTCCTTGGAAATGGAAAAAGACACCTGCATCTTCACTGATATTGCAGAGATGGTCCATTTATTATGTGGAGAGAAGGTACTACACTAACAACACAATTCTAGAATACTAACACAACTTGTAGTAGTTCAAAGACATTTTTTTTCTTTACTAGGATAAGTTATCATTCCAAAATGAACTTTTACTAACACATCATTCTAGCTGGAAGTGAGCAGAGAGTCAGGAAAAGAAACATTTTTTCTGAAGATTTGAGTGTATAGGTCAGTTTTGTAAACACGTATTTAATTGTGAGAATGTAGTTTCATCAACTTGAAATGCATCTTGGTGTAGCGTTGTTTTTCCTGTTAAGTTTAGATCAATTTGCACAAAACCAAAAAAAGCTTTCTTCACACACACATGACTTAAGATAATCTGACAGAAGTTTGAGAAATATCTGTCTTTTAATATTGCGTATTCCTTACTCATGGAAAGATTGAGTTGGCTGGTTAAAAGCTATACAGTCATGTAGTGGAAAGGTAGGGGTGAAGAAACTTTGAGTGGAGGTCACTTTGTAAATGAATAGTTTAGATTGCCTAGTGCACTCAGTTTAAATTTTGAAGCAATGCCCCTTAACTCTGGACTGACCCACAAGAGGAAACATCCTTTTTGTGTCCACCTTGGCAATACCAGTTTGGATCTTGTACACTTAACACTTGAAATGCCATAGCATACAAGGCCAAGTGCTGGAAAATGGGATGGAAACAGATGGATGTTCAATGACCAGGGCAGACATGATGGGCCAAAGGGACTCTTTCTATGCTGTGACTCCATGACTTCAATGGAATTACCCCTCACTCTTCTAAACTCCACTGGAACTAAGCTCAGCCTGATAAACCTTTCCTCATAAGACAACCTACTCATTCCAGGTATCAGTCTAGTAAACCGCCTCTGAGCCAGCACAAGAGCATTTACATTTTTCCTTAAATAAGGAGACCAAAACTGCATACAGTTTTCAAGATGTGGTCTCATCAGTGTCCCATATAACTGAAGTGCAACATCCTTATGAGAGGAATTGAACATAAACTAAAGATAACATCCAATTAGTTTTCTTGATTGTGTGCTGTATCTGCAGACTAACTTCTTAGGACAAAACAAGAGCATCTCTGAATTCCACTGTTATTCTCCATTTAAGTTATATTCTGCTTTTCTATTCTTCCTGCCACAGTGAACAACTTCACATTTTCCCACATTCTCCATCTGCCAGATTTTTGTCCACTAACTCAACCTGTTTACATCCATCTGCAACCTCCTTAAGTCTTTACAAAATACTTTACTATCTATCTTTGGTGTCATCTACTGTGTCTTCATTCCCCACATCTAAGCCTTTGATGTAAATTGTAGAAAGGTAGGGAACCAGCACAGACCCCTGCATGGAACCACTTGTCATATCCTGTCAATCAGACAAAGATCCATTTAATCATACTCTCAGTTTTCTGTCAGTCAGCCAATCTTATATCCATGCTGATATGTTACCCTCATGCCATTTTCTGTAATAACTTGTGATGGGACACATTATCAAATGCCTCTGGAAACCCAAGTACAGTACAACTACAGGCTCCCTGTCATCTACCACATGTTACTCCTTCAAAGAACACCAATAAATTGATTAAACGTGATTTCCCTTTGACAAAAGAATGCTGACTCTTCCCAATTTAGGTGTTTGGAAGCACACAGCTATAATCATTTTAGTGATCGATTTTAACACCTTCCCCGTGAGAGACATCCGATTAACTGGCCTATAGTATCCTGTTCTTGAATAGAAGGGTTATGTTTACTATCCAGTTATATGGAACCTTTCCCAAATCAAAGGAGTTTTCGAAAATTAGATCTACTACCCACAAAGATTTAAGAGCCTAGAGCCTTGGATGAAGTCCATCTGGACCCACAGATGTCACCCCACAGCTCCACTAGTTTGCTTTAGTACTGCTTCCCTCCCGATTGTAATTTCACTGAATTTCTTGCTCCCTTCCACGTCCTGGTTTACTGTAATTACTGGAATGTTTCTGCATGGTGAAGACAGAAACAAAATACTTGTTGACTTCATTTGTTATTTTGTTCTTCGCTACCCTGTATGCATATGAATTTAAGTGGAGAGAATGGGGTAGGTGGATTAATTTTGGGTTGCAGTAATGAAGAGCCAGCAGAGGTTGAGTGGAACCAGTTGCCTCCCTCTGTGCTGTAAACATACTTATAGTTCTGTCAACAACAATTTGCATTTGTATGACATCTTTGACATGAAATAAAGTCACAAGGGTTTCACAGGAGTGTTTTCAAACAAATTAGACACTGAGCCATGTTAGGAGATATTAGGAAAGATGACCAAAAGCATGTTCAAAGAGGGAGGTTTGAAGAATCAACTTAAGGAGATGTACAGCATTTGATAGGTTTAAGAAGGAAGGTCGAATGCTTGAGGTCCAAACACAGCCACCATTAGCGTAATGATAAATATTGTGGATAGTGAGGGAGTGCAGAGACCTCAGAGTGCTGTAAAGTGATACAGATAGGGAGGAGCAAGGCTGTGAAATAGTTTTGAAACAAAGGTAAGTTTAAAATAGATGTATTGGTGGACCAGAATCCAATTGTACGTCAGGCAGCAGTTAGGGAATGCACAGCAAATTTTTGGATGACCTCAGGTTTATGGGGGTTGTTCCTGGAAGAAAGTAGCTAGCAGAGAGTTGGAATCATCAAGCTTAAAGTAAACAAAAGGCATGAGCCAAAATTTCAGCAACAGATGATCTGGTGGTGGGAGCAGAGATAGGCAAATTTTCAGAGGCAGCCGTAAACAGATTTAACAATGCTGTGTGCAACCAGAAGCTTAGTAACACACCTGATGCCGTTGTTAGTGAATACAGTTCCCTTGTACCATCATGGTGTTCTCACTGACCAAATTGCAAAGTTTACACATTGGGGAGTGAGCACTAAGTGGGTTGAGGGGCTGGGCGTGGTGGAGAATGTTGGCTGGTGGGAGCTGAGTGTTTCAGATTTCACTTTCGAAAAGGATACATTCCTGATTGCTGAGCGTGAGGCTTGTGCCTGTGTGAGTGCCGCCTGCCGGAGAAGGGCGTTGTTGCTGTGGCTGCCAACAGCTGATCGTCTCTCAGATTTTCTTCCCTTTTTTTCCCCCACCCCTTTCCCTTAAAGGTCTTCACTCCGTGTCCACAGGAGATGCGGGAACTTTAACACCGGCTGCGAGAACAAAGCAACCTTTACAAACACCCGTACACACACACACACACACACACACAGTCTTGAAGCAGCTCCTCTGTCTTTGCTACTGAGTGCAGCCGCAGCTACGGAACATGTCAGAGCACCGCTTGATGGTGGAGGAACTCAACGAGCTCTTAGCAAATGACAGCGGCTTCTACAGCCTCCCATCCCAGCACTGCAATGAAGTTTACTCCAGGATCTATGTGGGCAACGCGTAAGTGTTACATTTACATGCAGCAGCTACACCTTTAATGTGTTTGAGTCTCCTTATTAGCAAATCTATTGAACTGATCTTGACAGGATCTCTGATCATACCTAAACATATTTTCTAATGTTGTAAACGTTATTAATAGCTGGTCGGATTTTAGGTTCTTAGAAGAATCCCACCAATTGATTCATACACAAATGTGGCAATGCTTTTTTTTCACCAAAGTCAACACTTTTTAAAGATACAAATGACCTTTTCTAACTGAATATTTAAGTTTCTGTTCGTGGTTTTAGATGTCCTGGAATTTGTTCCCCCATGGGTATTGTACAGACAGGCTGTGCCAGGAGTAAGCAGGGACTGGATTTTTTTTTGTGAGGCTTCGCCTCCAGCAGGTTGGAAGGTGGTTTCACAGTCCACCCAGGGGCCTAATAATGCAAAGATCCTATTGTCACATTGGAATGGATCTGCAATTTGTTTTTGTTTTATAATATGCAATTAAGCACAGATTAGTCTGTGCTCAAAGTTTTCAGGCCCTTATTCAAGTGAGTGATGAAATATTATGTTGAGGTCCCAGGTTCATGCCTGGCCAGACCAGGTTGAGTTATGTTTGGACTCCAGTGTATGCCAGAAAAGAAATCCCATCGCAGTGATCTTTTCAGAAAATGTCCAAGCGTACAAGTTCCACCTGCTCCAGAGGTGTGTAACCACATCTCTGAACAGGTTGATGAGAAAATATCTACATCTGAGATAATCATAGGATTAAGTTCAAATAGTCTACCTGTGACGTTGATGTTTACATATTTAGTGGCCACTTTGGTAAGGTAATAAAGGCTGCAGATCCCACCTTCAGACAGAGAGAAAACTGGCACAAAATATTATTTGATTATTAATTTCACTCTGTCACCTTCGGAAGGTGTCCCTTAATTAAAGTCATTGTAAATGCAGATTTATATTGACTGGTGAAATTACTCCGTAAATGCCACTGGACTGGCATAATGTGTTGCCCACACAGGCTTCCATGTCCTTTGCTACTGATCTCCGTTTGAGATTAGCACTACAATTCTCACAAAAATATAGTGCCACACCGAAGCTAGACAGCTAGAGAAAGAACCATCCTTGGTTGACCTTGGGACAGAATGGTGAGGACCTGGCAATAGGGTGTCCAATATTTGCCTGATAATGGTATGTCAAAAACATAACCTATAGGACAAATCCAATGACAGCACTAATGCACTGGATTATAGAGTTCGTAGCAGCTTTTAATAATTATTTTAAAGTTTTCTTTAGAAAAGGAACTCAATAATACAGTTCTAGGTGTTTTAAGTAGTAGTGTCTTCTCAAAGTAGGCACTGATTAAGTAAGGGTCTTGTCTATATTTTAAAGTGTCATTATTTCTAGGTGCTACAGTGTTAAAATAACCTACATATTCTGGCGAGTTAAATAGCCTGTGTTTGTTAGCTAGTTGATTTAGTAGCATAATCCTTTCTGTCCATAGGATAGCTATGAACTTGTCAGTTTTCATTTAAATTAAATTTGATCAATTCAAATTAATTTCTTATCACAGAATGTCCTGGGAATTTGCATGATTTTTAAAAATAGATATGAACTAATAACATTCAGTCAAAACGATGGAGAATTGCAAATTAAAATTTTATGGTACAAGTTCTTAAAGGGTTAAATTAGGAGGATGGTTGTGTTACCTTCATTTGTTTTCTGTTGAAGTGAAAAGGTTGAGGAGTGATCTAGCTGAAATCTTTAGTATGGTAAAGGCACAATGGTAGGGCAGAGAGATTTTCTCTGGAAGGGGAATCTAGAACAAGAGGGCTTAATACTATCTGAGCAAGGTTGTACAGGAACGAAAATCAGGAAGCAGTTTTTTACACAGAGTATACTGAAAATCTGGAATTCTTACCTCCAAAAGACTATGGATGGTGGGTCAATTGAAATTTTCAAGACTGAAATTAATAGATTTTGGTAAAGTAAGGATATGGAGAAATACAGAACAAAGATGAGAGAAATGCAGAACAAAGATGAGTGAATGGATTTGAGCAATGATTGGATTGAATAAGGAAACAAACTCAAGGGGTTAAGTGGCATCTCCTATTTTTCTTATATTGCTAGAATTCTATTTATTCAGCAGGACCCCACGTTGTGCAGGAAGAATTATAGTTATCTCACCTGTCATTAAACCAACTGTAAAAATAACCTTATCTGTTCATTTGCTAGAATCTCTGAGTTCAGCCTTATTTCACAAATTAATCCTTTACAATTTTTGTTGGCAGATAAGCAGCAGATGTTTGAAGGAGTACTTTCATACTTCTGTAATTATTCAATTATAAGTGCTGCCACAGCAATCATTGTTGCTGTAGGAGATGCAAAGACTGCATAATTAATAATTTGTGAAGATATGAACAAATGAGCAGAGTGTTACTAATATTTGTTAGATTGAGCAATTTAGTTTTGGATGTTGTAAAAGTACAGCAGCTGGACAATGAAGGAGTGCAGCACAATGAAGGCCAGGCTATGTTGGACACGTTGCATTTTTAGTACAGTTGTAAGGAGTCACAGTTGATTTACCGTATCGTGCTGTCTGCTAGAGAGTAAAAAAGAGGCTCAAAAACACTGATGTCTGCAAATTTTGTTTCCACATTTGTTCGACAATTTTGACGCTGAGGACAAGACAGTTTGGATTATATGAGGTAGTCACCATCATGCCAAAACTAGACAGCATCCAGAAGTCCATCAGAAACCATAGCTGATTTATTAGCCTCTGGAAAATGAGGATTTGCCAACCTTTCACTACATTATATTGTCCTTATGTGTTTCTTATTGTCCATGTATGAAATGTGGCCGTCATTGGCTAAGGTAGGATTTATTACCATCCCTAAACGCGCAGAGGACAGTTAAGAGAGCATTTCTGTCTTACTGAGTTTCTTTTTAAAAATAGTTTAAAATTATATTTAAAAAATCAATGCACTGTACAATTCACTAAGTGAGTGCTGCCTTTGGGTTTATCCCACGGGTTTTTAAAAATTTTTTTTAGTTATCCTGTGAACAATGGACACCCTCTGACAATCATAGAACCGTATAATCCTTACAATGCAGAATGAGACCATTCAGCCCATTGAGTCCGCGCAACTCTCTGAGCAGCATCCCACCTAAACTCAGCTCCGCCACCCCCGCATTTACCGTGGCTTATCCACCTAGCCAGGGAAATCTAGTATGGCCAGATTAGTGAACCTGATAAGTTTTTACAACAATGGACAGTGAGCTAGCATTTTGTCCTGATTTTTATGGAACTCAAATTTCACCATCTGCCGTAATGAGATTTGAATCCATATCCACAGAACATTAATCTGGGGTTCTGGATTACTAATCTAGTGACATTGTCACACCTCCCCTTATGATATTGCCATATTGTTGTCAGTCAACAACAGGATGAGATCTAAATAGCAGGGCTTGTTTAAAATACTCCAGCCTCTGATCAAGTTGTGAAATATAAGGCTGATTTGTTTAACAAAACCTTTAAGAAAAGAATTCTGTCAGTAAACATTGGGTTCTCTCATGGTACACTTCTTTTCATATTGTGGTGTGAACTACATATATTTGTGCGTTAATGGGGCTTAGTGACACAGCTATGTATGTAGTTAAAGGCTGTGGAACAAATGGAACATTTAGTTAAGTAGCAGTAGGAAACACATTTATGGACATGTTGGATTGATTCAACATGATTAGGTAAGAGAAAAAGGAGTCCTTTGAGTGTGAGGACATAATTAATCAAGTAAAGCGTCCATTGGCTTTTTGCTTCTTGACACCAGACAGTGATGTTTTTCAAAATAACATATTTGTCAATTCTTTCACCTATATTATTTTCTCTTTATGTTAAGTACTACTTCAGACAAAATGAATGCCAGCAACTTGATTCTAATTGATATCCGTTTGTTCCTCACATCCTGTGAGAAGGTACTTTGTTTTCATTCCATCCCTGTGCCCGACTGCTGTAGGAGCTCGCTGGATGGGGAATTGGAGGCATGTGTCTCCCACATGGTATCCAGCTGCTTCATGGAAGGCAGTTTTAATTCAACAACATATTTGACCATTTCCATATTCATCATTCTGGGGAATCAAACTGCCTCTTTACATTCAGGGAATGACACATTGCAAAGCTGAATCTAGCTGCTTCTGCAAAGGAGAAAAAAAAGCGAATCAAGAAAAGAAAATGGAGTCACAGTTTCTAACTCCAGGCTTGGTAAAATATTTTTAAAACTGACATCTCATGGCTAAAAGTCATTCTACTGAGTCATGCTGAGCTGAAAACGTTATACAGGAAGATTGCATCTGAGGCTATTTGAATATTTACGGCCATCCCAGGAGCATATATATAAGTTGCAATAGATTTTTCAAGATGGTCTAACAATGGTTAGTTATTCCAGAGCTTGATTACAGCAATTTCAGCCTGAATCTGTGAAAATATGCAGGTTGTACCGATATCCATACGTTATTTTGTTGCATTTGAAAGCAACCTTGAATTATAACCAATGCGTATGTCTGAAATACTGTACAGTATAAGGTTTGGGACTATGCTGGGATTTGTGTATTTATTTTTAACACTAATGTAGCCCAAACAAAATGTTACATCTGTCAGGAACATGCAGAGCTAATTATAGAAATCACATCAGTTCAGCTGCCAGTCGGGCAACTTGGCAAACAGTTAGATCATCCCTGGAACTGTTAAACACCCTTAACGTTTTGCTTGTATGGCTCCTTAAGTTTTAAACAATTCTCAGAGAAAAGCCTTTGGAAAAATACCCCCTTTGAAAGCTCAGAATGAGATCCTACTGTTAATTACTCAGCTGTAGTGAGTTACTCAAATGGGAGGTGATGGCCTGATGGTATTATCACTAGACTATTAATCCAGAGGTCCTGGTAATGTTCTGGGGACCTGGGTTTGAATCCTGCTATAGCAGATGGTGGGATCTGAATTCAATAGATATATGGAATTAGGAGTCTAAGGGTGACTGTGCAACGATTGTCAGTTGTCATGAAAAGCCCAACAGGTTCACTGATGCAGGGAAGGAGACTGCTGTCCTTACCTGATCTGGGCCTACATGTGACTCCAGACCCATAGCAATGTGGTTGACTCTTAACTGCCCTCTGGATAATTAGGGAAGGTAAAAGTTGCTGGCCTGACCAGTGATGCCCATATCCTGTGAATGAAGAAAACAAAGCTCGCTTCTCTGCCTTTTGGCTCAGATTGAGTAGAGTATCTTCTTATCAGTTCAATATCTGCAAAGTTACACAGTATTCCAAGGAGTGGCATTGCACTGTCATACTGATTCCAGTCAGCACCTGATAATTCTATTTCTTCAAAAATAACTTCCGAATAAGTCTTTTATTTCCCATTGTTTACCTTCTTCCGTAACTTCATTGTGATTTTGAAAAAATAATCCCAAGCTGTGCAGATGCTTTCTATATGGTAAATCGAGATTTCAGTAAATCATGATGATGTAACGAACACATGATTGCTGTACCTCACTCTGGTAGGCCTATGTTCCCTTGCCTTCTCAGGTTACACTAATGGAGGGGTCACAATAATTTTCAAGCTTCACAATGGGATCGTGGTGGGAAAAGGTGTAGAAAGCACTCGCATAAGGACTTGAAGAGTCTTATTTAGTGTTAAGGAGTAAGCAGTCTCAGGCACCACTTTACGTGCAGACGTAAATAGCCCAAGATACTCTGGATTGGTATCGTAATGCATAGGTGGCAGAATTGCCTTAAAGCACAGGATAAAGCTTGATGGGAAACAGTGGTATTGTCACTGGACTAATAATGCGTACACCCAGGTTAGTGGTTTGAATCTCACCATGGCAGGTAATGAAATTTGAAATTCAGTTTTTAAAAACTGCTAGTCTAATGGCAACTATGAAACCGTTCCCAAATGATGTAAAAATCCATCTGGTTCACTAATGTACTTTAGGAAAGGGAACTCTGCCAATCTCCATGATCCTGTGACTCCAGACCACAGTAATATGTTTGACTCTTAACTGCCCTCTGAAATGGCCAAACGTGTTGCTCAATTCAAGGCTAATTAGTCATAGACACCAAATGCAGTCCTCGCTGTCAGCTCCCACATCACAGGAATGAATAAAGGCGCACTGTAGGTGCAGACACTCCCAGCCTGAAATACTTAAGACCATGATATCATTGGCTAAGCTTATCATGAAGATCTCTCCTTCTCAACTTCTCCCCTCCCTTGAGGCGTGTTGACCCTGAGGTTAAACCACTACCAGTCATCTCTCTCTAATGGGATAGTAGCTGTGTGGTCCCCTGGGACTATGGCATCTTTACTTACTGTATCAATATGTAGGCAGCAGTGTTGGCTTATAGCACAAGATAAAGCAACTTAATTGTAAGAACCTGTTAGGGAATTGATAGAAACAAGCCAGCAAAGACTAACTGCCTTGCCAGTGACTTGAAATTGCTCCTGGCTGTTGTTTTTAATTTCTATAGTTGCATGACCAGAGGGAAAAAACCTATAAAGAGCCTGTCGTACTTGGAAATTAATGCACTGAATCTACATTTAGAGGTTTATGAGATGAGTCAGACCAGTATGTGTCATTCGCTAGCTATAGTATTGTTTTCCTTCTGGGTATAGCCTACCTACAAACACACACACACACACACACACACACTTCCAGATGAAGAAGGGCTATTTGGGTGAGTGCCCAAGTGTGAGTCACTGCCTAAAGAAGAGAAAATGATGGAAGTGGGCCATAATCACTTTCCTTGTTTCATTATTGAGAGGTGAAAATAACTTGAATCGCCTGTCGCAGATTAGCAACAAAATGCTTATGTTTGGCCGGCAGGAGTGGTTCGACATATTTTGCCTACCCCTTTGAGTTAGAGAATCCACAATATCAAAGTATCACTGAAACTCTGTGATGAAGGGTGCCAGCTTTGAATGTGTTCAAGGGTTGGATTTGAACTTTGCCTGTGGGGGATTATTTTCCAAAAATTTGCAAAGTTGCCTGACCTCAGCTGTATTCTCAACCTGTTTAAAAGCATTGCTGCATGTAACCCATCACCCTTGTACTCACTGACCTACACTGTCCCGCACAACCGTCACCCCTTTACTCACTAACGTGAGCATTAACCTTATTTTAAAATTGCATTTACCATTCTCATTTATTTTATTATTATTATTATAAAATCCCTACAGTATGGAAATAGGCCCTTCGGCCCAACAAGTCCATACTGACTCTCAGAGCTTCCCACCCAGACCCATCCTCTATAAAGGGAGATTTTATACTGCAGGCATCTCAATTTCTCATCCTGTCTTAATTATTTTGCACTGAGGCCATAGGGTTAAATGTATTCATGCAGGCTTCACTGCATAATAACCAATAATGCTTCACCCTGCTGGTCCCCTACCACTCATCCCTCCAATGGCCTCTCATGCAGCATGTCTGTCCTCCTTCACAAACCAATAGGAAAGCAGAAAGTCTCTACATCGCCCACTTACATGATCTTTGACTGCCAAGCCTACAACCATTTATCCCCATCTCCAATATTTATTGTAGATAAGACAATCATAGGTTTTTAAATTAACAAGTAAAGACTAATATTTATATACTGCCGCTTAGGACAAAGCACTTTAGTCATTTTTGTAATGTAGGAAACACATACAATACATCCAGAAGGAGGCTGTTCAACCCATCATGCCTATACCTGCTCTTTGAAAGACCTGTTTAATTAGTCCCAAACTCTGCTTTTTCCCTATTCCTTTTCATGTTGTCCAATTTTATTTTGAAAGTTGTTGTTAATTCTGCACCACCTCAGAATTCACCCTCCAGATATAGCAACTGAACCAAAATGTGAAAAGCAGGTCGGATAGAAAAACACACTCATCTTGCATTTTAATGAGATAGTAGGAGCTGCCGATGCTGGAGTCTGAGATAACAAGGTGTGGAGCTGGATGAACACAGCAGGCCAGGCAGCATCAGAGGAGCAGGAAAGCTGATGTTTCGGGTCTGGACCCTTCTTCAGAAATGGGGGAGGGGTAGTGGGCTCTGAAATAAATAAATGAAATAAATAAAACCCTGCAGCCCAAGGATCTCAATTTGGACCTTACAAGCTTCAAAATCTCCCCACCCCTGACCTCATCCCAAGACCAGCTCCCCTCTCGTCCCCGCCTCCTTGACCTGTCCGTCTTCTCTCCACCTATCCGCTCCTCCTACCTCACCGGCCAACCTCCACCCCCACTTCCTACCTACTAGACTCATCGCCCCCTCCTTGACCTGTCCGTCTTCCCTCCCACCAACCCGTCCCTCCCTCCTCACTGACCAACCCCCATCCTAACTCCCTACCTACACTGACCTTTACTGGCTTCATTCCCCCCCACCTCCTTGACTTGTCCATCTTCTCTCCACCTACCTGCTCCTCTATCCACCTTCTATCATCACCTCCCCCCCTCTCTATTTATTTCAGAGTCTCCTTCCCCTCCCCCATTTCTGAAAAAGGTTCCAGACCTGAAATGTCAGCCTTCCTGCTCCTCTGATGCTGCCTGGCCTGCTGTGTTCATCCAGCTCCACACCTTGTTATCTTGCATTTTAATGATCCTGGTCTCCTCCGGGCTTCCTTACCTGGAAAATAATTGCCAATTCCTGACATTCTGAGGTCTGTCCTGGAGGAAATAGCAAACTCTTTTTGACTCTGCAGCTACTCACAAAACTGAATGATTTCTGGTCTTTGAAGGATTAAGGTTTTGAATCCTTTGTTTTGCAGATTTGTTGCACAAAATCTTATGAGATTAGAGCGTTTGGGGATAACGCATGTACTAAACAGTGCAGAAGGCAACTCATTCATGCATGTTAACACCAATGCCGAGTTCTACGCAGGATCTGGAATCGTCTACCATGGAATTAAGGCCAATGACACAGAAGCATTCAATCTCAGTGCCTATTTTGAAGAAGCTGCAGATTTTATTGACAAATCATTAGCACAAAAGGATGGTAAGCAGAAAGTATGCAGCAGAAATGTCATCATATCATAATCACTGTTAGTTTTGTTGGTAGGTAATTATGCAGTCTCACCCACAACCCTGTTGTGATGTTAAATAACTTATTCCGCCAGTCTTTGGTTTAAATAAAAAGGTTCTGCCAGGCCTTACATGAAGCCAGTTGCCAAGGCCAGAAGGCATTAGGTGGGTACCCACTAAGCCATAGGGTCCTAAGTAAGAAAGAATAAAATAAATATCTTTATGGATGTTTGGTGGACATTATGTGTTCAAATAATGTTTTATTAAGTAAAGATTATTTCTATCTTGGCAGACATGGCACTGATGAGTGGTACTTCTGGTTTTTGTTGTTCGCTCTCATAAGAAGAATGGTCTATCTGGACTCGATCATAAGTACTAATAGCAGAGTTCATATTCTCAAAACTAAACTGTACACAGAGAGCAAAGGGGGCTTCTCTTTGCAAAATTATGCCTCAGTATTTTGAATTCAGAAGGGTAATTTGGGAAACTGCACAGGAATTTAGCATATAAATATCTTGTACGATGACATGACTGCATAATGATTTGTCCCTACAAAAGGGTATGGTTGTGACCTGGTTATGTTAACTTATGCAGAATGGTCACTTAGTTTTGTACTGCTCTGATAATCCAGAGGCTCGAATGATAATATGAAGAAGGTAAATTCAATTTTCATCGTTTCCATTTGGGAATCTCAACTTTATTTAAACAAGATTTGGAAGTAAAAAGCCGGTATCAGTAAAAGTAACCATGAAAGTATCAAATTAATGCGAAAATTCAACAACTAACTAGTTTTTTTTTAGGAGAGGAAACCTGTTATCCTCTCCTGATGCTGCCTAAACGGGACTCTAGTCCCACATCAGTGTGTTTGACCCTCAACTGCTGTGATGTAGCCTGTCAAACCACTTTTGAAACAGCTCGACAAAGGCCTACCGCAAGGTGACTCAGGATGGCCAGTAAATCCTGACCTTGCAAGTGGCACCCAGTTGTTGAGATTTTTTAAAAAAATACTCAAAAGCTGAATAGTTCTTTAGAATGGTGCTATGAATAGTGAAGGACAGAGAGTTGATCATTCTGCATTTCCCAGCAACCAGATTTAGCAGCAGCAGCAGGTTGGAATTAAAATACATGCTGAACTCCTCAATCAGCAAATATTATTTGGTGTGGGGTACTTGGAAGAACAGAGGAACCAGAATTCCTGTTTAACTATGCAAAAATAAGTTAGACATTGAGATTGCATTATCTTCGACTAACGGTTGTGAAAAGTATTCCATCCAGTCGACAATAGGATTGATGAATACCTAAACTGTTAAAACCTATTAAAATAAAAACAATTAATTTTGGCATGGTACTCAGTGAATATGTTTTTCTGGATTTCATGTCGCCAACATTAAGATTGAGTCACATTAGTGGCTCAATGATGCCAATAGACAACTTCTACTTACCTTAAACTTTGAAGCACAAATTAGTTTGATACTCAACTAAGCAACTACTGGTTTTGAAAGAGGATTATAAGCATTAATCCTTATTGATATGATTGTATACAGTTTAGATGATCTTTTTGCCCTGTACCAGCTATAAATCTTCTCCACATTAAAGAGAAGAATTTCTCAGTGTAGTCTGGTAGGCCTAACCATCTTCAGCTGCTTCTTCAATGACCTTCCGTCCATCATGAGGTCAGATGTTGGGAGGTTCACTGATAATTGCACAATGTTCAGCACTGCTTGCAACAGCTCTGCCACTGAAGCAGCCCATGACCCTGTGCAACAAGACCTGGACAACATCCAGACATGGAGTCATACAGCCCGGAAACAGACCCTTCAGCCCGACCAGTCCATGCTGAACATAATCCCAAACTAAATTAGTTCCACCTGCTTGTTCCTGGCCCATATCCCTCCAAACATCTGCTATTCATGCATTTACCTAAGTATCTTTCAAACTCTGTAAACATGTCCGCATCCACTACTTCCTCAGAAATTTCATTCCACACATGAACCACCCTCTGTGTGCAAATTTTGCCCCTCATGTCTTTTTTTAAATCTCTCTCCTCTCACCTTAAAAATATACCCCTTAGGCTTGAAATCCCCCATTCTAGGGAAAAGACACACACCATTAGCCCTATCTATACCCTTCATTATTTTGTAAACTTTTATTAGGTCACCCGTCAACCTCCCATGCTCCAGTGTAAAAAGTCCCAGCCTGTCCTGCCTTTCTTTATAACTTAAACCTTCCATATCCGGCAACATCCTGGTAAATCTCTTCTGAACTCTCTCCAGCTTGATAATATCCATCCTATAACTGGGTGACCAGAACTGGACACAGTATTCCAGAAGAGGCCTCACCAATGTCCCGTCCAACATGACTTCCCAACTCCTAGACTCAAAGGGCTGAGCAATGAAGGCAAATGTGCTAATTGCCCTTTTAACCACCCTGTCTATACGTGATGCAAACTTCAAAGAATTATTTACCTGAACCCCCAGGTCTCTCTATTCTACAACACTAACCAAGACCCTACCATCAATTGTATAAGTCCTGTCCCTGTTTGTTGTACCAAAATGCAATACCTTGCACTTATCCAAGTTAAACTCCATCTGCTAATTTTCAGCCCATTGACCCATTTGATCAAGATCCCTTTGTAATCTTAGAAAACCTTCTTCACCGTCTACTATAGCACTAATTTTGGTGTTGTCCGCAAACTTACTGACCATGCCTTATTCTCATCCAAATCATTTATATAAATGACAGACAGAAGAGGACCCAGCACTGACCCCTGTTGAACACCGCTGGTGACAGGCCTCCATGAAGAAACGCAACCTTTTACCACCATTCTCTGTCTCCTGCTGTTAAGCCAATTATGTATCCAATTGGCAAGCTCACCCTGAATCCTATGTGACCTAACTTTACTAATTAGTGTATCATGCAGAACATTGTCAAAGGCTTTACTAAAGTCCAAGTAAGCAATGTCTATTCCTCTGCCATCAATCTTTTTGTAGCTTCCTCAAAAAGCTCAATCAAGTTTGAGAGACATGGTTTACCTCTCACAAAACCACGTTGACTATCCTTACTCAATTTTTGCCTCTCTAAATGTTTATAAATCCTATCTTTTAGAATCACCTCCAACTACTTCCCCACAGCTGAAGTCAGACTTACAGGTCTATAGTTCCCCAGTTTCTCCTTACAATCCTTCTTAAACAAAGGCACATTAGCTACCCTCCAGTCATCACCTATATTTATAGATGATGCAAATATTTCTGCAAGTGGCCATGCAATTTCCTCCCTTACTTTCCACAGTGTTCTTGTGCTCATTAGTGGCAACCAACATTGTTTGGCATCTGTATGGCACAAATGGCCATCTCTAACAGGAAAGAATCTAACCATCATCCCATGACATTCAATGGTATTATGGCTGAATCACACATTATTGATATCCTGGGGGTTACCATTGAATTGAAATGGAACTGAACCAGTCATATAAAGACTGTGGCCAAAAGAGCAGATCAGAGGTTAGGAATCCTGTGGAAAATAACGCATCTTCTGTCTCCCCATTGCCTTTCCATCATATATAAGGCACAAGTCAGGAGTGTGATGGAATAATCCTCACTTGCCTGAATGGGTACCGCTCCAACAACACTCAAGCAGCTCGACTTAATCCAGGACAAAGTAGCTCTCTTTTTGGAATTCCAGTTACCACTTTCAGCATTCATTCCCTTCATTGCCGACATACAGTGACAATAGCATATACTATATACAACATGTACCAGAGCAACTTGCTAAGCCTGCTTTGGTAGCACCTTCCAAAGACACAATCTCCATTACCTTGAAGAACAAGGGCAGCTAATGCATAGAACATCACCATCTGCAAGTTCCCTTTCAAACCACACACCATCCTGACTTGGAACTGTATTGCCGGGTCAAATTTGTGTAACTCCCTAACAGTGCTGCAACAACACTGCAGCAATTCAAGAAGGCAGCTCACCATCACTTTCTCCAGAGCAATTTGGGATGGGCAGTCATGCCCTTATCTTACGCAAGAAATAACAAGAAAAAGAATCAAAGTAATTTTAGTTTCTACCTTTCAAAAGCTCAACTTTCTCCCACACACAGAATCTGTTAACATTTGGCATAAAGTAGCAAAATTACACAAGGTATTTGTTACAACCACAAACAGTTCACCACAAACAATAAGGAACTAAATACAAGGTTTTCTTGAGTGAAAGTCAGAGCAATTTAATTATAGGCTAATCCCAAGAAAAAGAAAACAAAGATGTGATGTCAAACTCTCACACACATGAACAACGTTTGCAAAGTTAAAATGAGAAGAATGTCCAGTGCAAGAATGTAGAGAAACAAATTTGGAGTATTTTTGAAGTGTGAAGTTTTGAAGATCAGGTTGGTTAGGGACATCCTGGATTGAGGACAGCCACGAATATTGCCAACATCTTAGAGTTCTCCGTGTTCAGACATTACTGCAATTCATTTTGTCACTAGGATTTGTCCTTTCTGACAGAGAAAGAGCCTCCTCTTGTTCCAAATTCAAAACCATCTCTTGGCTCTGCAGTTCCTTGAAATCTACTTCATTTGTGTATTCTAGATTCAGAGTTCAATACCTCTAACTTGGCCAATTGTAGGTTTTTTTTTCTATTTCCAATATGTCAGCTTCTCATGATTATGAAAAATCTAACAGGAGATTCAAGTCGCTTCACACTTCCCTGGTTTCCGTCACTTTGATAAGAATTTTGATTTCAGTTTTGACTGGTTCTTGTTTATTGATGATTTCATGAAGCTTGATTCAATCTGTGGTCAGATGTTTACTGTGGCCATGCTTAAGTACCTTTCTCCCCCCTTTTGAGACCATTTCAGAACACGAAAGTCCCAAGAATAAATTCAGATGATGGAATTTGAAAATCAATTGTCTACATTTTACCACTATTGTAACATATTAAATAAAACAATTGCTATGATAGCGTGGTGGTGCTGTAATGAAAATATTTTGTGCAATGACGTGGCAACATGTAGATGTGTCTGCATAGTTTCACTCACAAATTTGCGTGTGATACATAGTGCACAGTAGAAATAATTGGGTAATAGGACATGAAGATCATAAATCATAGGTCACCAGCGATTTATAATAAATACTAAGTTATTAGAAAATAATGGAGATTGATGTTAGCTGTTTAATTCTGAACCAAAACCTTGTGATGACCCACACATTCTGATGTGGCATTAGTTAAGCATTTCCTGTAGATAAAAATCGGAGGTCAGTAATTTCTGAAAAGTTGTTACTGTAACATGAGAAACCAACCTCCTTCATCTTTGTCAGTGCAAAATTTAATTGTTCTCAAAGACATTTGACATTATCCATCACTTATGTACAAATGATGATTGGAAAAGGTATAGATCGATGATAATTCAGAAACCAGAGAAGGCGAATCATTAAGATGCAGTCAAGAAGCTTTGCTGACATATTAGCCCAGAATGCTGCAACATAATCCCAAGATTCTGCTATGTGCTTATTAGTGGAAATAAAATGCTCTCACTGTTCCACTATCTTGTTGATATGTTTTGGAATAATGACCTTTAAACTTTAGAGCCAGATAGGATTTTCATTAATGGTAGCAAGGTATCCTCAAGCCTTAGTTTAACAGGCCTATTCTGAGAAAGCCAGTTTGTAAATACCCAATACGTTACCCAATATAGGTTTAATTTTCCAGGACAGAAATTGCTAGGGAAGCTCACCAGGTCTAGCAGCATCTGTGAAGAGAAAGCAGAGTTAAGTTCTGAATTCAGAAACTCTGCTTTCTCTTCACAGATGCTGCCAGAGCTGAGTTTCTCCAGCAATTTCTGGTTTGATTCAGAACTTCAGCTTCTGCAGTTCTTTGTTTTGTATTGATTTTCCAGGACCCTTTTTCAATCCCCTGCATCACAGCTGGTGCTGTGATTTTGAAAGTAGGATAGAAAATAGACCAGTAGAGTACATGTTTTGCACTTTGAAATGAATTGATTAAAAGATGCACAGTTTGGTTTTCTATTTTACCTTCTGCTGCAGAAGTTCTGGTTTGCTAACTTACAGCTTCACACTCATTACTAAATGTCCAGTTCACACCACAAAACTACAGGATAGGCATACACATATAGTCACTAATGTCAAGTAGCATTTACATGAGACATTCAATACTTTATAAACATCAGTGCTGTATTCTATCTAGTACAAATATGTCCATGTGCTTCCAAACAAGATCAATGAACTAATGCACCAAAAGTGTTCTTCAGAACTAACAATCTAGTTGTTAATGATTATAAAGTCACTCTGAATAGCTTTAGATGCTTGTGCTCTTGGTTGTGATGGATCCATTGTCAATGTTGAACGATAAATTTTAAAAATGAATGTGTCTCCAATGACACTGGTCTTAATTGGGTGTAATAGGTTTGAGAAGTAATTTATGTTCATGGATTATACGTCAAATTATCAATGTTAAATCTTTAAAATGGTTTTGGAGCAGAAAGTAGACTGAAGTTACTGTTTCTACTGGATCACAAGATGTTTATATGAAAAGGTGGCTTAAAAATGTTGTGCATCTTATGGTCTGACATCTATATTCTAATATCTCCTCAAGAGTACCTTTAAAATCCTGGTGCATCTTATGGCCTGGTGTATCTTGTGGTCAGGCAATGTGGTATTTCCCTGTTTACTTCATCTACTTGCTGCAGCTCCAGGAAAAGTTATACAAAAGTAAGGTTGCTGATAAATCCAGGGACTCCCACTCCAGTCTAATACTACCACCTCCTGATGCACGGCAATAGGAAGAAATGCTAAGACTTGGACTATGTTGAAACCAATATAGAACTGTCAATCCGTGAAGAACTTCAGAACCTGTCAAATATGTGATCCAAACCACACAAATCTGTCTGAAGTTCTGTGAATGCTTCGAGTGATTTAAGTTTTGACAGAAAGGTCAAATGGCACAATCTCTAGGCTGTCCCAATATCTACCACAAAGACCTAGTGAGTGATACAATGGTACAGCCTTCAGGATTTGACTTCCCTCAAACAGTGGCCTTTCCTCTAACAGGGTCATTGTCCCCCATTACGAGGTTATAACACCTCCTTCACAAATGAAATTTCGAGGACTGCTCAGCTTGCATCTTCGGCCACCCAGATCATGCTGTTCAATGCATGGTGAATGAATGTGGCCTCCAAAAATTTCCATCTGATTCGTAACAATCGCCCAACAACGCACAGTGCAGTGACTTGGTTTCCAACAAGGACCTAGACTTGAGCATGAAAACATGAAGCTTATGAAAGGTTGAAGAAAGCAGGGGCATAAAGTTTTAGACAAAAAGCCACCCTTTCTTTATGGAGATCTATTACGAGCAGGATTCCAAAACACAGAAAACTCTGAATTTGAAAAGCTTAGGCCAAATGCAGGATAGGCTGATCCCAACTCACCTGACAGGCAATTGGGATCCAAATCAAGTTTTTCTTCATATTTTGATTGTTTTGGTTGACAATCAGGAGGCTTGTATCACGGTTAGTATGTTTTGCTGTGTGGCGCAGACCTTGGTTGCAGACAAGACAAAGGAAAGCCTGTTTAGTTATTTCCAAGCCATTTGTGAAGTGCAGTTTCATAGTGAGCATGTTTGTTGACATTATCTCTAAGACTTCTTTCTTGGTCCCATGATATTGACCTAGTAATCCTCTGACTTCTATATGCCTCTATATTGGTAAACCATTTTAAGGTTAAGATTATGAAAGGCCGTTTGCTGAGATAATTTTTGATTGCCTCCAAATAAATGATATTTTTGGGCCTTAAATAACATGCATGTCCTCCATAGGTTTTTGATAATGGAAGAAATGACACGCCAAGTTGCTGACAGGTGAATAAATATAATAATGCCAGTCACAACCAGTTTTGATAGAAACTCAAGACTATTATCCTTTAATGGCTGTCAAGAAATTGCCCCGCTGAGTGTTTTGAGCTATCTTCTGGGAACTTGTACAAAGACCCTGCTTGTTTCATTAAATTCCTTGCTGTTCTTTTGAGGAGGTTTGGTTCAGTGAAGATTATTTTACCAGCTGTGTCCTTCAGTTGCACTTCAGAGCCCAGCTTGTTGATTCACAGTTCAGTAACAAGGCCAATGGAGCAAGATCCTGTGTTAATTAACATTATTGTCCCACTGAACAAAATATCCGAATAATTCAAGTTATCCTCCAAGCCCACCAAAAAATTCCTGACACTTTTGGCATTAATCCAAGTATCTGTATGTGTCTTATTGCATTTTCTTGTAAAAACATGGCCCATTTCCACCTCCATAACATGGCCCAACTCCACCTGACCTCAGCTTAGCCACTGCTGAAACCTTCATCGTTGCCTATACTACTTCTAATCTAAATAATTCTAATACATTCCAGGCCTGACTCCCTCATGCAACTCTCCAAAAAACCTAAGGTCATCCAAAAATTACTGTCCGTGTCATTACTTAGATCAAATCTTGTTCACCCATCAGTTCTATGCTTGCTGACCTCCACTGGGGCACAGTCAAGTGAAGCCTTTATTTTAAAAGTTTCATCCCTGTTTTCAAGTCCCTTTGTGGTTTCATCCCTGCTCTTTCTGTGTAATCTCCTCAGCCTCACAAACTCCCCTACACCTACTCATCTAATTTTGAGCATTCCTGATTTTAATCACTGTTTGTGACTTAGCCTTCAGTTGCCCAGGCCCTAAAAGCTGAGCAGTTCTTTCCCTAAACTTCTCCATCTCTCTACTTACCTTTCCTGATTCAAGACACTGATTAAAATTTATCTCTTTGTTCAAGATTTTGGTCATCTGTCCTCATATCAATGTCTGTGCTTGAGTGACAATTCTGCTTCTGCTTTATGATGTTCCTGTGAAAGCCCTTGGAAGATTCGTAATGCTAAAGTTGCTATATGCATATAAGTTATTACACTCCTTTGGAGCAGGTGACACTTGAACCCGGGCCTCCTGCCTCAGAGCTGAAGACACTCCCACTGCACCACAGAGCCAGATTGATCAGAAAAGTTTTAAACTAACACGAGTAACAATGAAATACTCCACAAGAACTGATTTGTTTTATGCAGCTGTAGATGCATAGTAATGCAGGAAAATTAAAACATTGGAAAAACTGTTTACGCATTCTACTGTACAATTTACTTGGCTGTCCAGGAGATTAATTGAGGCAAGAAGTTGTTTGTGTTATTTCATTTGTAGGGCAATAAAGTTTGATTCTATGCTGCTCTGCTTCTCCAGGACGAGTTTTGGTGCATTGCCGGGAGGGATATAGCCGATCGCCTACTCTAGTTATCGCTTACCTCATGCTCCGACACAAGATGGACGTCAAGACAGCCCTTTTAACCGTGCGCCAGAAAAGAGAGATTGGCCCGAATGATGGATTTCTGCGACAACTCTGTCAATTAAATGAGAAACTGGTTAAGGAGGGTAAAATTAAATCTTAAAAAAACCATTTTGCAAGTAGCCAGCGCCTGCTGTGAATTTATAGAGGTTTTATTGTACCAAATGTTGTCTGTTGATTTTAGGGCTAGGACAAAGTTTCAATATTTCAATTCTTACTTCGGGGGATTGGCTTTCTTTGAAGGAATATTTTTCATGTGTTTATATAAAGTCATGGTTTCAGCATCTCAAAGTTTTATTTTAAACTCATCTCACTATTACCAATTTTATTGAACCTTTAAAATCTGATGGATGCACATTGTGAGGTAGAACTTTACCATCACTCTGGTATTGTTCCTACATCCGAACCTGGAGGCCTGGGTTCAAGTCCCACCTACTCCAGAGTTGTGTAATAACATCCCTGAACAGGTTGATGAAGGATATTCTTAGGCCCCCTTGTGGCACAGTGATAGTGTCTCTACCTATAGACCAGGAGGCTTGTGTTCAAGTCCCACCTCTTCCAGAGGTGAGTACTGACATCTCTGAACAGATCGATTAGAAAAATAGATTAAATAAAACTTAAAAATGAGAAAGTATCAATCCAAGTCAATAAAGCAGATTGGTAGAAATAATGCACGAAAATGTTGAAGTGCTTAGTGTCTGTACTGACACATTTACCTCTACTGATGGTAATGGCAGTGGGTACTAATTGAGTGCAGTTCACCTGCACATTAGGTCTGGAGCATGAGGTACTTGAAGCTCTTGTTGTTATCCCATTTTGGAAAAAAATATCAACACCCTACATTGAGTCACCATCAGAATTGTAGGTTTCTTTACCTGATTCAAAGCTGGACTTCTCTCCCAGTTTGAATGGATGAAAATCAAATCCATAATTTATTTCTAAAGCTGACAGCCGGTAGACGGTTGTGATTGCCTGTTGGCTCCTCCAAGGAAATAAAGTCAGAGCATCATCAGCATTTTTCCCATAACTCTTCGATGTTTTCTCACAACCCGTGTAAATCCTTTATAACTTGGTGATGGGTTTGAGTTCCTTGAGCCGAAAATGATTGGCCACCATAATTTTGTGGTGACCTTGTTAACCAGTCAGGAGTTGTTATAATTCATCTGTTGTGACGTATTTCTCTTGTGCTTGGTTTGTCTTGCAGCCCCCTTTTTGACAGTTTGTGAGATACGGCGCTTAAAAAGTCTTAAGTCAGCAAATATACTGGTGAGAATCTGGCCCCTTTCTAATTATAACAAAGCACATGACTTTTAAAAAAAAAAACAGGGCTCAGCGTGCATCTTTTTCAGCTTTAGCAAGTTTTGTTTTCATCCAAAAGAATGGGGGAGGTGGGGGAAGGAGAAAAGAGGACTGAAAAGTCCCCCGAAGAAAGTTGAAAAATAGCTTTGGTCCTTGCCTGACTTAACTAATTTTGAGTTTGCAAGATGTTGTAATTGGTCTTATTTCTGGAAGGTGTGTGTCATTAGGACTGTAGCAATAAGACACTTGTCAAAGTGCCAATTGTTCAAATATTTTATGACACAAGCTGTGCTTTCAGCTACCAATGGACGAAACAGAAATCACCTTAAGGTGATAACTTATGGGTGCATTAGGCATTTCTTCATCCAAATCTTATGCTGAAATGTTCAGTGATTTTGATCACTAGTCATGACAAGTCAAGAGCTTTCTTGTTTACATGTTAAAGTTTGACTGACGGTTGAACAGTGGCACGCTGAGTCTCAAGTACCAGGAAGGATTCTCTGTCTAGAACAATTTAACTTTTCTGATATTACGTGGAAGTTGTCCTTTGTGCTCAGAGGCTGGGGAGAGGATTAATGAACAAGTTTCTCCATTACCAGTGCTGCCTTGTGACTCATGTGGAAAGGTGTCCAAGTTTATGTGAGTACAGAATCAGACTCAATTATGATGCAATCTTTGGCCAATTAAGCTGCTTTTTCTCTTTACCCAAGTGCTTACAAATGAAGAATAATTGCTTGAACAATGCACCAAAATCCATGGGACAGTATCCAAGAGTGGCTACCTTCAAGAGGGAAAGGGAGAATAATTTGGATGGAGCAGGGACAACTGAGAGTTGAGCCATTTTATTCTACCTCTGGTTTTGATTGATTTGGCTTCCAGGCTATAATTTAAACACATCGTACTTACAGGACTCTTAACTGGCACTTGCAGCTCTTCTCAACTTCGTTATAGATGGAAACCAACACTGAAACTTGTAGCTATGAAAAGCTGAATATAGTGAAAACATGACAAACATTGGTTGGCCATCTATTTGTGACTTGCAGAGGTCTCAACTGTGACAGCATATGTCCCCGTAGACATCAGCCAGCAAAAGTAAGATGAATGATCCTCCATTTTTGAGTAGAATGCAAACTGCCTTTACACGCACAGGAATGGTAGAAAGATTTACGATTGAAGCTAATCATACGTGATGAATTAATAGTTTAGTATTTGGTCCGTGAAAGGCTTGTAAGGATTTATAATGGGCGAAATGTAGGTGTGTAAAGTGTGTATAATTTGGAAAGCGGACTTACTGTAATGTATACAGAGTAAATACCTTAAACAACAATGTATATCTAGTCTATATGAGCTTCAAATGCTTTCTGTTAATGTAAAATATTTATCTTACAATGTAACCTCTGTTCTCCACAATAGTGAAAAGGGAAACCCCTGCCCTTTCTAGGTGAATGAAAGAGAACGTTGAGAATCTTTTCAGGACCCTCAAACTCCCTGCTTCCACAAATGGTACAACAACACCTAGCATCTAAAGACAAATACATTTTTAAAATCTAAAAGAAGAAATTATATTTTCTTCAAAAAGGAAAAGCGAAATAAACAAAGAGAACATTAACTAGCAGTTCAGTCAGATGATGACTTGCCAAAACTTTCTCTGACAGTTAGCATGGAGGTAATGAAGTTTTCACTGAAACTAGTTTCATATTCTAGGAGTTATGGTGGGGGGTGGGGGTAGGGTGGTGTGCGAAATTAGTCTATGTTAGCCGTGCAAAATGAGCTCATAGTGAATTGGCAGCAGATTTTTTACTGTGCCAATTTGTCTTTTCTGTTGATTTGGAAAGTATTGACAAGGTTTTGAATTACAAATTAAGTAACAGTGAGACTGGAAAATAGGTCTCCAAGAACATTTTGAAATCTCATTTTCAAAAATTAGGGCGTGTGGTGAAAAATCAGCTGGCTGTTCATTGTTAGATGGTTTCTGTTGATGGTATAAATCAGTCTCATTCCGAGTTTTTTTTTAATATTTGAATTTAAATGGCAGTAATGCATGAGATGTGTGCATTTTCTTTTAGAGGACAATGTATTTAAATTTGGATTTTCCTTTTATTGATTTGAAAACTGAGACAGGATAAAAATTTGATATATATGTATCTGTATATTTTCAACATTGCTATGACTTTCCCATTTTTTTTGAGAAGTGGGATAAAATAGAAACAAATACACTTAGAGCAGTGTTCAGGTGATTGCATTACCTGACTGAGCTACCAAATTGCAGTGCTCCCTGTCACTCTAACCAACAGACTCAAGAGCCTTCCTTGAATAGTGAAGCTTTTTAACCTGATTCCACTTTTCAAATATTGTGATCACTAATTTAGAAATTAGTTAGGAAACTCTGTGAGAGACAGTGTTTGGAATAGCTACACTGCTACAGTTGGGAGAATCGCAAGCTGGAACCAGCAGGTTACCCAGATAGTTTCAAGAAAAGCAAAGTTTTTTTGTAGATTCTTTTTAATCAACCTTTTCAAACATATTATGTATGACACACCTCTGGAACAGTGAGGACTTCAACCCAACGAACCATAAGATCCCTTAATTTGTTTAATGTTTTATGTCCTGACTGGTCAACACAAACTAAAGGTCCTCTAGGCTTTTTACTTTTGTTCTCTCCCCCACTCTCTATTTGTAGTTATTTTAATTAAGCTGTTTGGACATGTTTTTGAAACACCTCTGGGGCAGGGGAGACTTGAACATGGATCTTAGGGACACTACCACTGCACCACAAGATCTTTTTTGTAGCCTTGCTATACTTGCCGTATTACTGTTTGCTGCAACTTATGTTTTCCTGAAACCATGGAAAGTATATATAGATTGGCATGAAGGGTCTTGTTGTTTTACCTTTGGTGAATGTTCTGATTTAGTTTGTTAAGATCTAATGTAACTCATATTTCTAGCTTGTAAATCAATATATTGTACAAGGCATGTTTTTCACCAGCATTGTGATATCAAGCCAATGGAAGTTCAGTGCTGGCCCAGTTCAAAATTTAATTAATATAATTGATATGTTATAAAATGGGCTCGCCAAATACAAATGGAAGATACACTTTTTAGTGGTAGTCTATAGACAGCACTTCCATGTACTCTGAAGTAATTTAAAGTTTGAATTAACTGATTTTATTTCAAGTCCATGTAAATATGCATAAACATTTTCTATTGTAATGCTCTGCACTTGAATCAATTATATATTTAAAATGTTCCTTATTTTACAAGCCAACACAGGCCCTACAAAGATGCTTTCTATTGTAGAAATGCAGGCTTATAACTCAGGAAATTTTTCCTATCCTTAGAGTTATGCATTGTCATCTCAAAGACATTATTCTCATTATTGTGAAATAGACGTTAGAGCCTATGCCTCGATTGCAAACTGGATCCATCACACTGCTATTTAAGGGAACTTGCTGTGTGCAAGTTAGCTGCCACTGTTCTTATACAAGATGGTGATTAAACTACAAAAGTAATTTTTTGTTTGTCACACATTTTGGGAGGTCTGGTGGTTACGAAGGGCACTATGTAAATGCAAGTCTTCCCTTTTTCTAAACGGCCAGATCAGTGAGTATTTATCAAAGGTCCATAGCCAATTCTGCAAATGTTCACTAAGTTGCTGTGTCTGATAATAACATTTAAAAATAAGCATCAAGTGGCGTGAGGTTAGGTTTCACAATCTAGATCGTTCGTTGGTGCTGCTCATTAATTGAGAAATATCAAACAATTTGTACTTAAGTTTAACTAGATGTGACCAGAGTCTTGAATTATTATTTGCATATGTGTGTTCAAATTATAAACAGTAGGGGAGCCTGTGACTTCACTAACAGGAATGTACAGTGAGATTTTGGATCCAGTTGTTGAATTCAACAATTATCTAGTCATTTTCAATATCTGCTAAGCTTGGATTGGATTTGTTGGGCTCTTCCTTTACATGCATACCCCCTAGTTTATATAGTATCATATGACAGATAATGATTGTAAATGATACTAAAACAATAGTTCCTTCCCTGATTGGTATCAGCAGCACCTATTAAGTGACTATTTAGACCATGGGGGTGCCAGGTTCTGTGCTGAGTAAATGTCTCCCATCAAAAGTGGCAGTGAGTTTCTGCAGGTGACCTCAGCAGCCCTGGTGAGGGGCGGGCAATAAAAGCAGCTGAGGTTTCTTCTCATGATCTCTACCAAGAGGCAGTTGCATAAGAGCATGTGTGCGGCCATCATGAAGATACATTGGGTTGATTGTGGTGACCAACACTTAGGAAATACCAGTTTTCATTCATAAAACAGTAAACTAGGATGAGTCAATATTTCAAAGAAATGAGAAAAAATGCTGAGCTGAGCAGTTTCCCCCTCTATCAGAAACTTGTTGGTTTCACCTGTTACGATGCAAAAAGAGTGGTGAGTATTAAACCAGTTTGTTCTTAACTTCGTGAGTATTACCTAACTTAATCAAACAGTGCACACCAATATTGTGTTTAATTGCCTTGCCTTCATAACCTCACAGCAGTCTTTAACATTCCTTACACTGGTAGATTAGTGCTCCATGTGCAAATAACTCTAATCACTGTGGTTCAGGAGCTGTCAGGGGGGCTGTAACACTAACCTGTACAAAAGTGAAGGCCAATCACTGAATAGGGTGCCTAGCTGAACAGGAATACTGTAGGATCTGTGTATAACAAAGA